AGCTCCGAGGTCGGCCGGTCGGCCGGAAGAAGCTCCACGCGGTGGGACACCCGACAGACGCAGAAGAGCTCGGGTATGCCGGCCTCCTCGCAGCTTCGATTTAGCGGCACCTCCTCGCTGACCAGCGAGTAGGTGGTAGGAGTGGTGGAGTGGCGGCTGTTCGTAGAAGGGGTTACTAGGGGTTGAGCAACAAAAAGAAAACAAAAGTTTGGGTTATTTCGAAATGGAGCTAAAAAACTTTCTTTTCTCTTACCTTCTTTTTCTCCCTCCATTTCCGCCCTCAGCATCTCCAGCAGCGTCCTGTGCACATCGAGATTACTCGTCAGCCGGCGCCGATTACGGAGCAGCGCGTCGCCCCACTCCGGCCGCCGCCGGAGCAGCCTCGGCGGCAGGCGGATCGCCATCAGCGGCAGATTGCCCTCCACCTGGCCGCTCTCCAGCAGGGAACTTTCCGGCGAGTAGCGGTCCCCGTGGTCGCCCATCATCACCAGCACCGCTTCCGCCAGGAGGCTGGGCCCGAGGCGGCGGAGAAAGTCCGCGTAGACGGCGTCCACGCGTTGGGCATTGAACCAGCCATTGTGCAGCGTTCGGATGAGCATCGAGAGGGCGAAGAAGGGCACCACCTGCTGCTGCGAGGCCTCCTCCTCCTCCTCTANCAGGTCCGCGCCCTTGTTGGCCACCGTCCAGAAGGGCTGCGCGAAGAAGGTGGTGGGCGGACGGGCGAAGCCGCCGCTGCCCGGGCCCCAGCTGAGCATCGACCGCGCCGGGGGATTGTCGTCGAGGAAGGCGGTGGCGTAGCCGGCCGCCTCGAAGGCCGCCCACAGCATCGGCAGCCGGTTCAGGTCGATCGCCTTGACCTTGTGGTCCTTGGCCTTGTCCTTGCCCAGGTCGCTGACTCGAAGCCCGGTGGTAAAGGGCAGCATATTCTCCAGTGTGTTGTCGCCGATCCTCGTCAGGCCCTTCAGGTAGAAGACCGATCCAGTGAGCGCCTGCAGAGCGGCCGCCGTCTGCGGCATGCTGCGGTGAAAGTTGGCCCGGCTGGTGCTCTCCAGTACCAGAATGAGCACCGAAACGGGCGGCTGATGCTTGTGCTGAGCCTCCTTGGCCTCCTTCTTCCGCCGCTTCGCAAACTTCTCCAAACTGGGCATAAAGATGAAGAGATCCTCAAAGATGACC